AGTCGGTAAAATATGTGTCCTTGGTTATAACGACATGACGTAGGAAAGCCTAGTCAACAAGAAAGCTTAACATAGAATTTCATAAATCTTGTGACTTCATCGTCAGCAAATTTCTTTATGAAATATTGGTGTTCTCACAAATATACCTTAGAGTAGCTAGACGTAATGAACATAAATTCGAGTATATTAATTTCCATTCGCTTTCCTAGAACAGAACATTTTCAAAACGAAATGAAAGTATCTTCAGTTTCTATTCGTCTATGGCAGTGTGCTGTTTGAAAAATAAGAAAAATCTTCAGATAAAAATATTTTCGGAACGGATGATGTTCAAAACTTTTCAAAAGACAGGTTCTGCTAAATAAACGTAAGAAAACATTCAAGATAGCTTCGTAATTGAGCTGTTAGCTTTACCACTGAAGAAGATACAGGCGAGACCTTATGCAGTTTGTACATGACCCGTATGACCGGTCAGTGAACGAAGTATTGAGGAGAGCTGTCAGCAGTATGCTTCTTGTTTGCTTATTGCTATATTCCATTAACACCTATCTATCAGAAGACTTATTTTACGAAATCTTTTGACCATTAAGAACTACAAGGTAGGGGAGATTTTCTTCCTTTGTGTATACCTTTGTGATATGAGCAGTTTGGACATTACAACAGACGCCTGTAGCGGTCCATTCAACTAGTAATTCACATTGGTTTATAGGAACACTAAACACGCCGACCAAAACACAAAGATAGTCGTTTAAGATACGAAAATTTACATCGGCTAGCTCCGGGCACTACATCTGGGCGCGAGAATCGATTTCACGATAGGACTATATGACACAGTGGTCAATATGATAAAGTGTATGTTACATCAGAGGCAACGCTATAGCGGGTATGTGATTATAGACGTTTCCACTCAAGACCAACTCTAAATTGCAATTTCGATTTGTCGCAACCCTTACGGCGTTTTAGGAGATTGGGTGGTGACGATCTATTTTAATGTTTGCAATGATATAAACACACGGTGTCTTATTTATTTGACAGGAATTGGCAGAATTGTTCATTCTGACATGATTCAATAACTCCGTCATTGACGGAGACTTAGGTTAATTGTAAGGTACGCCACATACGGATTCAACAATTGATTTACAACGATTTAAATAAAGCATCGACTACAGCCCCCGCCCCTCGCCACCGAACCTCGCCCCCGACCCTCGCCCCCGCCCATCCCCCGCCCCTTCCCCTGCCTCTATCCAACTTTATGTACTTGTTTGATAAAGCTGATATTTTGTCTAAAATAATAAAATATACAGTAGATAACTGTTGACGCCTGTGCTGACGCCTGTGCTGGATCTCTTGACATATAGCGGATATAATTTGAACTCGTTTCACAAGGTGATGTTGCTATTGATGCAGGCGACCACCGCCAATCTTCAACTGTCTCCAAATTACAAAAATGGACCTCTGATATTTTCTACTGCCAAACAGATTCCTACGGTTTTTCTGCTAGCATCCTCGACAAATTATTGATTTCCTATGTAATACATTCGGCACTTTGTGATTCTTCTTGTTCCTCATATTTACAAAGATTGGAATTTCTACTGACTGACAAATGATACATTTTCATGTATAAGTCATTAAGATGTATCTACTGGCATAAACTATTTTTAAAAAGATGACAGAAACTTAAATCACACTCAACGTGTGCGTGTATTGGGCTTCACCCAAAAGTTATTTAATAAGCCCATCTATTAAAATGATGTAATGCATCTTAAATACGTCTGACAGTTAACTGTAATAATTCTACCGATATATTGTCAAACATCCAGCAATATATTCAAATAAGTCTTCATAAAATAATTACGATGCGTCTAACAATATACTGTAAATGTAACACGTCGTACGGTAAACATTAACACGTCTAAAAAGTACTGCTATACGTCTAACAATATACTGTAAATGTAACACGTCGTACGGTAAACATTAACACGTCTAAAAAGTACTGCTATACGTCTAACAATATACTGTAAATGTAACACGTCGTACGGTAAACATTAACACGTCTAAAAAGTACTGCTATACGTCTAACAATATACTGTAAATATAACACGTCGTACGGTAAACATTAACACGTCTAAAAAGTACTGCTATACGTCTAACAATATACTGTAAATGTAACACGTCGTACGGTAAACATTAACACGTCTAAAAAGTACTGCTATACGTCTAACAATATACTGTAAATGTAACACGTCGTACGGTAAACATTAACACGTCTAAAAAGTACTGCTATACGTCTAACAATATACTGTAAATGTAACACGTCGTACGGTAAACATTAACACGTCTAAAAAGTACTGCTATACGTCTAACAATATACTGTAAATGTAACACGTCGTACGGTAAACATTAACACGTCTAAAAAGTACTGCTATACGTCTAACAATATACTGTAAATGTAACACGTCGTACGGTAAACATTAACACGTCTAAAAAGTACTGCTATACGTCTAACAATATACTGTAAATGTAACACGTCGTACGGTAAACATTAACACGTCTAAAAAGTACTGCTATACGTCTAACAATATACTGTAAATGTAACACGTCGTACGGTAAACATTAACACGTCTAAAAAGTACTGCTATACGTCTAACAATATACTGTAAATATAACACGTCGTACGGTAAACATTAACACGTCTAAAAAGTACTGCTATACGTCTAACAATATACTGTAAATATAACACGTCGTACGGTAAACATTAACACGTCTAAAAAGTACTGCTATACGTCTAACAATATACTGTAAATGTAACACGTCGTACGGTAAACATTAACACGTCTAAAAAGTACTGCTATACGTCTAACAATATACTGTAAATATAACACGTCGTACGGTAAACATTAACACGTCTAAAAAGTACTGCTATACGTCTAACAATATACTGTAAATGTAACACGTCGTACGGTAAACATTAACACGTCTAAAAAGTACTGCTATACGTCTAACAATATACTGTAAATATAACACGTCGTACGGTAAACATTAACACGTCTAAAAAGTACTGCTATACGTCTAACAATATACTGTAAATGTAACACGTCGTACGGTAAACATTAACACGTCTAAAAAGTACTGCTATACGTCTAACAATATACTGTAAATGTAACACGTCGTACGGTAAACATTAACACGTCTAAAAAGTACTGCTATACGTCTAACAATATACTGTAAATGTAACACGTCGTACGGTAAACATTAACACGTCTAAAAAGTACTGCTATACGTCTAACAATATACTGTAAATGTAACACGTCGTACGGTAAACATTAACACGTCTAAGAAGTACTGCTATACGTCTCACAATATACTGTAACATGTCTATCAATATACTGTAACATGTCTACCAATTTACCGTAACATGTCTACCAATATACTGTAACATGTCTACCAATATACTGTAACACGTCTATCAATATACTGTTGTATGTCTACCAATATACTGTAAAACGTCTACCAATATACTGTAAAACGTCTACCAATGTACCATAACATGTCTACCAATATACTCTAACATGTCTACCAATATACTGTTGTATGCCTACCAATATACTGTAACATGTCTACCAATATACCATAACATGTCTACCAATATACTGTAACATGTTTACCAATATACTGTAACACGTATACCATAACATGTCTACCAATATACTGTAACATGTCTACCAATATACCATAACATGTCTACCAATATACTGTAACATGTTTACCAATATACTGTAACACGTCTACCAATATACTGTAACATGTCTACCAATATACTGTGACATGTCTACCAATATACTGTAACATGTTTACCAATATACCATAACATGTCTATCAATATACTGTAACATGTCTACCAATGTACTGTAAAACGTCTACCAATATACTGTAACATGTCTACCAATATACTGTAACACGTCTACCAATGTACTGTAACATTTCTACCAATGTACCATAACATGTCTACCAATATACTGTAACATGTCTACCAATATACTGTAAAACGTCTACCAATATACTGTAACATGTCTACCAATATACTGTAATATGTCTACCAATATACTGTTAAACGTCTACCAATATACTGTAACACGTCTTCCAATATACTATAACACGTCTACCAATATACCATAACATGTCTACCAATATACTGTAACATGTCTACCAATATACTGTAACATGTCTACCAATATACTGTAACATGTCTACCAATATACTGTAAAACGTCTACCAATATACTGTAACATGTCTACCAATATACCATAACATGTCTACCAATATACTGTAACATGTCTACCAATATACTGTAACATGTCTACCAATGTACCATAACACGTCTACCAATGTACCATAACATGTCTACCAATATACTGTAAAACGTCTACCAATATACTGTAACATGTCTACCAATATACTGTAACATGTCTACCAATATACTGTAACACGTCTACCAATATACTGTAACATGTCTACCAATGTACCGTAACATGTCTACCAATATACTGTAACATGTCTACCAATATACTGTTAAACGTCTACCAATATACTGTACCATGTCTACCAATATACTGTAACATGTCTACCAATGTACCATAACATGTCTACCAATATACTGTAACATGTCTACCAATATACTGTAACATGTCTACCAATATACTGTAACATGTCCACCAATATACTGTAACATGTCTATCAATATACTGTAACATGTCTACCAATATACTAAAACATGTCTACCAATATACTGTTACACTGTCCACCGATATACTTTATCATAACTGTTTTGAAACCTATTTCCGTTACTGGTCAATTTCTCTAATTTTTTTTTTGTTTGTGTGAATATTTCAACAATTACGTCGTTTAATATTGGTAGTTTTGAAAGGAGGGACTTAGTTAGTAAGGACATAATTTCACAATCTTCATATTTAAAAAGTCATGAATTATACGTTTAATGCACTCACCTGGAATTTCGACAGATGGACGTTTACCCCCTGGTGAAGAGGGTTCCGACATGCGACCCCCTGATGACAAAGCTTCTTCGGAAGACCCTCGGTCTATTCGGCGAGGAGATGAGCCATGGGGAGGCACCGTGAAGGGAATTTGCTTCATACTGCAAGGAAGGAGAATAAGAGAATGGTAACGTCTTAACATAGTCATAGTGAAACGATTCCGAACTCCCTGCACTCCTGTTAGTATCGTGTCTGATGTGTCGGGACGTATGTTAATTCAAACAAATAATTAAGGCCAGTTCTATACATTGAAAATTGCATCTGTTACTTCAAAAAGTATTTATAAGATCCACATGTGTCTAGTAATCCATCGCGTGATGAAAACACCAACAAACATCCAATCTTCTAAATATACATGTATTTACAACAGAAGTGAAAGCAAATGTCGTTTAGTTCCACAACGGTAACATTTGATTTTTCAATTTTGATTCCTAAGGCCTTTGTGGTTGGAAAGACTGCCGGTATGAGAACAGCGCGTATGTTCCGGTAATACTTCTATATCCCATATAGTTCAATAGAGTTCACATCACTTTTTCATTCTAAATATCCAAAAATGTTTGCACACTATACATAAACCCATCCGGGAAGGACTTTTCTGAGTAACTAAATCGTTCATCACACACTCGTATACGTGCTAGCTGGTGTTTTATCAAGATTTATAATCCCGCTGTAAGTAAGATACACAAAAGTTTTCATAGTTGTCATAGCCACACTGATACACCCCGCTATCAAAAAGTAGTGAACTTTAATCCAGCGAACGGGCAGTCCGGGCAGTTTAAAACACCCAAGTTATAACAAGTAATTGAGTAAATGTATTGAAATCACAACAGAAAACTCAACATACACGAGCGAACGCCTACAAGAACATGTCTGCCGTGTCCAAGTCTGCAGAGTTCTCTCATTGATTTCACTAACCGGTATGCTAGTTCTAAGAGCTAGAGGATCACAGAGGATTAACGGTCGAGTTTTATCCACTTTCAGCAGCTGCTATTGTCAGCTCGTTCGTCGTCTTTGAGAAGTTTTTAAATCCTTTAAGATCATTGGTTTAATACGTCACGGAACCGTTCGCACTTTGAAGGTGATGTCAGAGTCTCTACTTGCGGGAATTAACACGATTTAATGACAGCATGAAAAATGCACGTGAGCTTTATCTATATAAGCTTACTTATACCGTAAAAAGCGCTTGATTGAAAACATTTGAAAATTAATGTTTTTTATTCAAAAAGCCACAAATCAACAGGAAATTTAAGATTTCCGTAAAAATCCATCAACGATGTAGTTAAAGAATTTTAGATACTAATGAAACACACGCAACTAACATCGGGAAACGACAGTAAAAAATCCGGAAAAAACTCAATAATTATTCAGCATGATCCACTTGAAAGTAAGGATGGAATCGATGGCGTGAGACGCTGTACTGTTTGTATGTTGACTCGGCTACAACAGCTACACGCCTTACTCAATATTGCAGTAATTAAAGTAAAATAAAACTGACCAAGGCGACTGGTGGTGTGATCGATCAATAGCGAAAGGGAGTGTAGTGTTTTCTCTATATTACAACTTTATGCTACACTCAACCGTCCTTATTGAGTCGACATCATACAATGTCAACGACAACGATTTTATTCTCATATATGTATGCATTGTAGAAAATTAAACACAGGATTAAATTATAATAATCTACATATGCTTACTATGCAAGGTACTGATTAAAGAGTTAAGTCGATCACACGAATGTACCAGGTACATTATCACCTTTCTGTACAAATACGTCATACTCAACTGCACCATATGCATGTATTTACATGTATTCTCTCTTTGCACATCCAAGCCAAATTCAAATGTATCACGCGCATGTACCTGTTCTGTGCACGTGCACTTCCATTTCAAACATTTGCACTACTTGCAACTTTTACCCTTCCGTCATATACAAATGTGCATGTACCACGTACATGTACCACGTACATGTACCCGATCGTTTTACAACTTCATCACAAACGACAGTACATTATACAGGTAACAAGTCATGCATGCATGTTCCTCCTAAATGTAACCATCATTTGTACACTAACGGCATACACATATTTACCATGTTCTGCAAATGTAACCATCCTTTGTACACTAACGGCATACACATATTTACCACGTTCTGTAAATATAACCATCCTTTGTACACTAACGTCATACACATCTTCACTATGTACTGTAAAAGTAATCATCCTTTGTACACTAACGCCATACACAAATGTACTATGTACTGTAAAAGTAATCATCCATTGTACACTAACGCCATACACAAATGTACTATGTACTGTAAAAGTAATCATCCTTTGTACACTAACGCCATACACAAATGTACTATGTACTGTAAAAGTAATCATCCATTGTACACTAACGCCATACACAAATGTACTATGTACTGTAAAAGTAATCATCCATTGTACACTAACGCCATACACAAATGTACTATGTACTGTAAAAGTAATCATCCATTGTACACTAACGCCATACACAAATGTACTATGTACTGTAAATCCATTGTACACTAACGCCATACACAAATGTACCATGTACTGTAAAAGTAATCATCCATTGTACACTAACGCCATACACAAATGTACTATGTACTGTAAAAGTAATCATCCATTGTACACTAACGCCATACACAAATGTACTATGTACTGTAAAAGTAATCATCCATTGTACACTAACGCCATACACAAATGTACTATGTACTGTAAAAGTAATCATCCATTGTACACTAAGTACACAAATGTACTATGTACCATCCATTGTACACTAACGCCATACACAAATGTACTATGTACTGTAAAAGTAATCATCCATTGTACACTAACGCCATACACAAATGTACTATGTACTGTAAAAGTAATCATCCATTGTACACTAACGCCTGTAAAAGTAATCATCCATTGTACACTAACGCCATACACAAATGTACCATGTACTGTAAAAGTAATCATCCATTGTACACTAACGCCATACACAAATGTACTATGTACTGTAAAAGTAATCATCCATTGTACACTAACGCCATACACAAATGTACTATGTACTGTAAAAGTAATCATCCATTGTACACTAACGCCATACACAAATGTACTATGTACTGTAAAAGTAATCATCCATTGTACACTAACGCCATACACAAATGTACTATGTACTGTAAAAGTAATCATCCATTGTATGCAGATTGGTACACTTACGTCATGATTTGTGTTGTAGAGCCACCATAAAAGATAAGAGAGAAACAAATTGTTCGCTCCTGGAAACTGCCTTGCAGTATATTTAAGATACATTTCGTTTTTGTTATGGCTTCATGAAAATGATTCAAATCTTATGATTCTATTTGTGTTATTATAACGTACGACTTGTTACATGTATTTTCTCTAGCCAGTATTTTTTTTCATTGAAATTGTACCACGCAGATGTAAAAGTCAATTAAAAACGATGTGAGAAAACAATGACGTCACTGTTATAATTTATCAGATGATGCATAGAAACGCTTTTTGAGCTGAAATAGAATAATTTAGTTTTAACTACATGATCACTTTTGACGTTAAGTATTTGTATAGCCGGAACTTGTAGAGATTACTCTCTGGTATTTGTGAAATAGTTATATGTGATTTTCTTTAAAGATCTCTTTCCTTTTATCAATTAAGCACATCAAAAACAATGTAGTTCAAAATGACGTAACTGTAATTTAATATGCTGATGAAATAAAAAAAATGTATAAATAGATTTTTAAAAACTGAGTGAAATGGTGACATAAGATTGCTCTGCAATTCCTGACGTTTACAACATTATGAGGAAACTAATTTAAAACTAATCTCTCCAAAGTAAGACGAAACATCCCTCTCTTGTGCTGGATTTGCTCATATCGAACTAGTTTTGTCTATGTCAAGAGCTTTGAGATACATTCTCGCCCTAAGCACGACACTTCTTTATTAAATCTGAAACGCCATCTTTAGATAGCAAATGAACATTCATACTACATTTTCATACTTCTGGATCGCTTTAAGGACTGATCTTGTGTCAAGATTTGATCATAATCTCGAATGCATTACATCATACAGATTCACACACATAGTGGGAAAAAGCATGTTAGGAATATTAGCTGAATATCGTTAGGTTTCGTAATATCCAGTAACACGAGTAGTCACGTGCTTCACACCACTATCCCTGTATAATCTCCTTCTGTGTTAACCCTACAATCATTATGGTGCGACGGATGATTTTAAAGCGAGTTTTCTCGACGCTAAAGGAAAGAACTTTTTCTTCCTGCTAGCTTTTGGTTTTAAGGTTTAAAGTCATCCATAGGTTTTTAGTTTCGTATCTATTTTATCAAATTATCAAATTTACACAATTTGCACATTAACAAACGCAGTACGTCAAGCTAATATTGACATCACCTGTCATTAACAGTTAGAATTACTTTTATGACACGATTCTAAGGTATAAGACTTTTTTTTTATTTCGCATAGCAGTTTGGCGAGGAAAAATAATCTCGGTTAAGAAACAATACAAAATAAAAAATGAATAAATAAAAATAATAATAATAAAAAAATAAATAATTAAGAAAACCCCTAAGATAATAGGATCATGACATGACATCTAAAAGGAAACGAAGGTCAGATTCTGTTTGTCACATAACTCAGATATTTTGGAAACATTCTCTCTTTATCAAAGGATGGCGGCTTGTTAAACAGAAAGGAGAATGTGATACTGTGCTGCTTAATAACAGTAGGAGACCAAAACAATTACGTCCGTCCTTGTCATCTTATGGAAAGTTTCGAATTTCTTGACGTCAAATACCCACACGTCGTGATTCTGTTACTGTACCTGTTTTGATCCTGACGGAGATATCGCGTTGTTGACGATATTGAATTCTTTCTACGTAGCTCATGTTCTTCCAAAAATTGGCGGATTTTTTTTCAGGTAAGTAATCTGGTGTCTTATATCGCCAGTCAGAAGCCTTGACAGGGCATGATCTGTGCGTATTACATTCATATGCATTGCTTCACATGAAGTACATGTGCATGTCGGATTCATTTGTATTCAATGTTCAGTCACAGGAATT